AGCTCGACTCGAATTCTTAATGAGCCGAAACGAGCTACTTGATACTCGACTCGAAAAGCTCGTGAGCAGATCGAAAATATAATATATAAGATTACATTTTTTTAAAAAAATATTAATATTTATGTATTGATTTTTTTAAAGAGAATACATTAAGATTTTTATGCATTTAAGGTTCAGGTTCGAGTTTGAGTTTGAGGCTTCAATCGAGTTAAGTTTAAGAAAAAAAATTCTTCATTTCGAGCCTTTTCGAGCTGCTCACGAGCTTCAGTTCAGGATTTCGAGTTCGAGTCGAGCTTAAAAATTTTAAACTCGCGAGTTTTTCAAGTCGAGTCGAGCTCAGCAATACTCGAACTCGACTCGGCTCGTTTACACCCCTACTTCAAAACACACAGACAATATCTTTGTTAGGGATCAATTTTTCTTCCAATTTACCCCCACATGTATAAAATATTCTTTTAAATATTGATTAAATTTTAAATTGCATCTTATATTTTTATGTAGTATGAATTTATTTTAAGTTAGATAATTAAGATAATAATAATAATAAATTTAAACAAAAAAACAAATTCATAACTTTTCTGCCATGTTGACAAGGGTTTGGATCTTCCTTAGTCTTTCTATTTTGTTTTCTTCATAATTAGATATTGACAAACAAACCTAAATGTGATGATGCCAGCTCTGGGGGACTTGGACTAGAAACTAGGAAGTAGGACAATTAGCCATTGTCTCTAATAAATACACAATATGCTCCCACTATATATGTATATGTATACAACATACGTTAATTACAGATATTAAGTATTTCATACTATTAAAAACAACATATGTCAACTACCTTATTCAATGCTTCTAGTTCTACGGTTTATACGTATTTAGTATTAATTTCTGCATGAAAAATATATATATAGTTTTCTTATGTTAATTATTGAATTTAAAAAAGCTATTAATTAATTATGATATGATATTACAATAATCAATTAAAATTTTCTTTTATTAGTATGAGATGATTACAAGAAAGTATTTATTCAAAATCTTTCTACCATTGACAACGCACACATCCTATAGATACAACTGCTCGAATCAAAAACCTCAAGAGAAAATAATATTATCCTTAACTAATGAGATCATCCAACAGGTTCTATAATAACCAATGAGGTTGTATATAATATTTAATGACGTTAATATGTTAATTGTATCAATAATCTAACTAGTTGTTTAAATTGTATGCCAATACATAATTAATTTAAAATTATTTTCAAGTTGAAATATTAATTTAAAGGAAAAAATTATTGATTAGATAAAGATTATCAACTTCAAATAGTCATTTTTATAATAAACTAAGATTTTTTTTTATAGAATTAACTAATTTTATTCAAAATAGAAAAAATCTCAAATTACAATAAAGATTTACAATCACAATCGTTAATTAATCACATAATTAGGAAATTTTCGTATAATCATTGAAACAAAACTAGTAACTTAAGATCATATAAGGACCATACAAGGAAATATTAAATCTAACCAAGAAACTCGAACAAAGATAGATACAAACAGATCTAATCGCATCGGAAAACGAACTACAAAAGGATCAAACTATTGGGAGGCCATCGACAAACTATAAATCAGATTCGAACAATGTGAAAAGCTATCACAATGCAAATTGGGTATCAAATCCAATCCAGGGTCCAAAGTAGGGAAGATCACGATATATCTCATCTTAATTAGTCGTTGTGATGTCAAATCAACCCTTAGAAAAAAAGATAATAAAAACATCCAAAGAACCGAAAAATGCCAAAAAAATAAGAAAACGTGCCGTAAAGGCAGATGAAAACGTACAACACATGCAAACTTATTGAAAAAAAATATATAAAAAAGAAAAAAAAATAAAGAATATCGACGGTCGACAACAACATTAAAGTTGGTGTTATTGCCGATCAATAAAGATAAAAAAAAAGATATGAGCGACACAGAATGAGAGAAAACTAAGTTTTTAGATTTTTAGCATTAATATATTCATTAATTTAACAATAAACTAAGAAATATTTTAAACGGATATATTTCAAAATTTTAATAAAATAAAGACATAATAATGACCTAAGCCTTAGGTCATAATCTCTATGGTAAGCAAATAGTATACATGAGACATTTCATACGACATATTGGGAGTCCAAATCGATCGACCCCAGTTTGGGAGCCGAAAGAATAAAATTTTATAGTCCCCAGCTACATTTATTCTAATAAATACAACATTTCAACAATTTTGAATTTCTTGTCTGGTTGTATATACAATTCACATAGATACAATCAAAAGATAAAAGTTAAAAATCCATGGCGTATGAACCTTATTTCAAAATATTATGGTCGATTTAGAGATGAACGTCACGAAATGAAATATGTAGATATGACTACGAAAGTTATTTATATTTTTACTCGTTCAATGTTAAAATTTTGAGTTTAATTATTTAATTTCTACAATCATCGATTACAAGACAGAGTAGTATTGAATTATAAGGGGAAAAGTTGTTTAATTTCAAATAAATAAGATCCTAAAAAGTAATCAAACAAAAAATTAAGATATTATGAGTTTAATTTTATTAATTTTAAAATCCAAAGGTCTTAAAATGCAATTAAACTAGAGAAATTTTGCATAAAGGCTTAATTCTGTTAATTTTAAAACTGACATGTCCTAAAAAATAATCATACCAAAAATTTCTAAGAGAGATAAAAACTTAATGACAATAATTTCAAAAACTACTAGTAACTTAAGAAGTAATTAAAACAATAAAATTTGGGGGCTATTGTCCCTCCCACTTATAACATGAATCCGTCCCTCATCAATATTTACCTTTTAAAAAATAGCACCCCACGTATTTAAAGTTAAAGTTTATAATATTAATTGACAATCTTCCTCAAATTTTAGGGATGATGCCTCGAAAGACATCTTTCAATGTGGAATGTTAATTTTGGTATTTAAAATTTCATTTAATCTATTAAAGTGAAATACGTCATCATACATTTATTATTAAATCCCTTTTTTTTTCAATCAACCATTTATCCAAAGGTTTCTTCTTCCTCTTCCTCTGATTAGAGAAAAATATAATGAGAGCCCTAGAAACTTGAATAGTGGGGGTGAGGGGGAGTAGGTGGTTTTTTCATGATCTGCACATTTGTGCATAGAGCCACTAAATATATATCTACTATATCATAACTGGGTTCAGTAATAATGACAACAAATCAAAGTTTTTAGTATATTTGAATTTGATTCGAGTGTTATATCTTATCTATGTATTATTTATATCGATTCAAATTTAGAGAAGTTTCATTTCGTTTTAAATTTAATTTAATTCTTAAGATAAAAATTTGATTTCATTTGATACAATGTGATACTATCCTTTAAAAAAATTTAGCTTAAACCCAATCTATTTTTCAAAATCAAACCTACAAAATTAAATAAAATCTAAATTGATTAAATTTGAATTAAATAGACATTCTTGGTCTACACTGCATACTCGCCAATCTATTACAAATATGCATAAATATTTTAACGGGGAGTTGGTGTTTTATACAGGCATGTCCATTTGCATATTTATTGTGTGACACATTATAGTTTTTAAATTTGAAAAATCCAGGTTTGTCTATGTATATAGATATGAATCAAAGAGGGTGGTGAAAACAGTGTCTCATAAAATTTTAAAATCATCATATATTTTATAATTTTGTATTTAAAAATTTATCTACGTCTCTTGAAATTTTATAAATTCGTCTCCTTATAAAATTTTGGATGTTCAACCCCTAACATGTACAACCTTTATGCCCTAACGATATTTTCGTTCAAATGTAAAACAAACTTTCTATTTGATTATTGGGAAAGTGACTGATAAAGTTGCAAACGAAAATTTTGTCAGCATCTTTAATTGTTTTCTATGATTAATTTTAGTAAAATACTCATAGATCCCTCATAATTACAAATTTGACAAATTAATCTTATTATATTTTAAGGGTCTCATTTTAAAAAGTAACATATGACCTACCATCTTCCGGTTTGAGTCTGGTTTTATAAAATATTAAAATATTTCTAAAAAAATAATGACACGATTTAACAAGCATTTTGTTTTTGATTTTATTGGAAAAATAAACAACACTCAATAATTAACAAATTCTTTTAATTTTATTATTATAATTTTCTTATTTCATTTTTTTAAATAAATCACTGATTTTATTAAAATAGGAATATCCTAAATTACAATAAATATTTACAATTATAATTATAAATTAAACACTTAACTAAGATAATTTCTTATAATCATTGAAACAAAAAATTAGCAACTTAATATAACTAACCAAGAAAACTCGAACAAAGATAAATACAAACAGTTCTGATCGCATCGTCAAAACCACAAAAGAGGATCAAACTACTAAAAGACCACCGACAAACCGTGAATCAAACTCAAGCGACATGAAAAACTATCTACGAACGCATAGCGGGTGTCCAAATCCAATATGAGATCCAAAGCAGGAAGATCAAAATATATGATAAGTGTCATCATGAACAGTCGTAACGATATAACAAACCCTTAAAAAAAATAAATGAAAACAACGATCAAACAACCGAAAAACGTGTCCAAAGGTATAAGAAATGTCATAAAGACAAAATAAAATGTCATACATGCAGACTTATTAAAAATAAAATTAAAAAAAGACAATAAAAAAATACCGACGTCCAACAATTAACTTAATAATTAATAAAAAAATTAATGCCAACATTGATCAATAAAAAAATGAACCACGTGCTTATTTGTCAAGAATCTAATAATTAATTATTGTCAACACTCGGAGTAAAATTTCTTATCTCCTTTCTTAGATAGGAATTATTAATAAAAAAACTAGTTACTTAAATAACTGTTTCCCCTTTTAGCCTAATAATGCCCAACACTTAATAGAAACAAAACTCCAAACGATAAATCCATCACTTTTATATCTCAACTCTCCAACCCCAAAACTACCAGAAAAACACTTAAAACCCCAAACCATTTCTCTTTCTCTCCTCCTCTGTATCCCTCACTCATCCACCCGTTTTAGAAGAACATCGCCGTCGCTTTGTTTCAACATCGATATATTACTCAATCCACCGGTGGGTATGGAGAGATAATGAGAAGGAATCAGCGGCCACGATTGCCGTCATCGTTTCTGTCATCAAATCCACTCTCAACATGTCGTTTTCATGTTCCCATCGCTTCACGGGCTTACTCTGTGCTGAGGATTCCGACGAGGTTTTATCCGGCGAGTTGCCGGCGTGTTCATCGGAATTGGAGTATCCGGCGACGTCGATCGAGGAATCATCCATCGATGACTTTATTGAAGGCGAAACGAACTTCATCCCCGGATTTGATTACTTGGCTCGGTTTCAGTGCCAATCTCTCGACGCATCGGCTCGAGAGGAATCTGTTGCATGGATTCTAAAGGTGAACTGTTCACCGAGTACCAAACAATCTCTGTTCTTCGATATTACAACAATACCACGGGTGCACTTTAGTTCGAAAATTTCACGGTTCTGCTAAAATGCACATACAAACCTTTTGATGGACGACTGTTACTTTCAACTTTTCCGATTTTATTTACTTTTTCATTCTCCTTTTTTCCCCAAGTAATGCTAATAATATCTTTTTGTTTGTTCGTTTGCAGGTACAAGCATACTACAATTTGCAGCCTTTGACGGCCTATCTTTCCGTTAACTATCTGGATCGATTCTTATATTCCCGCCGCTTGCCGGTGAGATTTCTTTCCCGTCTCTGTTAAGTTCACTCAAACACATTAGTGAAGGATTTATTAGGTGGATTACGGGATTTGAGTGATTAAATTTCCACTGTTTGATGCAATTTTTTTCTCTTTTTGAAGTTTCAACAACAATGAAATTTGTTTTACCATCCAGGAAAATAGTGGGTGGCCACTGCAACTTCTAGCTATTGCGTGCTTGTCGTTAGCGGCGAAGATGGAGGAACCTCTTGTTCCATCTCTTATAGATCTCCAGGTAAATTAATATTGCTTTTTCTATACACAATCTTTATGTGATTTTCAGTAATTTCCTTCTATGGATTGATTAGAAATAGTGCTATTTTTAACGAAATGATGTTTGCATATATGATATAAATGCAGGTAGAGGGAGCGAAATACATTTTTGAACCAAAAACAATTCAAAGAATGGAACTGCTTGTGCTGACGGTTCTGGATTGGAGGCTGCGATCAGTAACCCCATTCAGTTTCATTGATTTCTTTGCGTGCAAGCTCGATCCAACCGCAACTTTTCTGGGCTTTTTGATTTCAAGGGCATCGGATATTATTTTATCCAATATCAAAGGTACTATCATCATCATCAATTCTATTCTCTTTCTGTCGGTTGATATAATTGTGTGCATGTATGAGCTGAAATGCGTACTTGTTTTGATGTTTATGAACAGAGGCGAGCTTTCTAAAGTATCGGCCGTCAAGCATCGCTGCAGCAGCGATACTGTGTGCAGCAAATGAAATCCCAAACTTATCTCTTTTCAATCCTGAACATGCCGAGTCATGGTGTGGTGGACTAAGCAAGGTAAGTTCAACCAATGTGTAAAAATAAGTAACGAATCCCAGTTAAACTAGAAATATGTATGTGAATTTGCAACAAAAAAAATCCGATTTTCGCAGGAGAAAATATGGAGCTGCTACAGGTTAATGCAAGAACTTGTTGAAGACAATGCGAGGAGGAAACAACCAAAGGTGTTGCCACAGCATCGAGTAACAGTCCGAGGCAGAATGAGGCCCAGTGACTCATCTTCCTCGTCTTCTTCCTTAACTTCTTACAAAAGGAGAAAATTAAATAACTACTTCTGGGTGGACACTGGACAATGAGAGAAACTCCAAGTAAGTGGAATAATAAACAAAAGAAAAGAAATATGGTGGTGGGCCAAGTTGTCTAGAACCCTTAATAGATATATAAATAATTTTGGTGAAGGGTCAGGGTTATGAAGAGTAAATTGACCTGCAAGAGTGCATGTAGATGTATAAAATATTTTCGTTGGCGGGGATGGCTTTGCAGATTCCCAAGGAAAAGGGATCTGTTACATAAATATTGCATAGTGCGAGGGTGTGAAAGCCAGGAATTGAAGGAGATGGCCGGGTACCTTTGGCAGAGGAGAGCCGAAAGCAGAGAAAATTTTGGTGAGTTGGGTAGGCGGATTTAGGCATTGAACGTTGAAGCTCCTCCTTCCCCGATACAAATATGAAGAAGGAACAAATAAATTTGGCCTTTTTTTTTTTATTTGGAGTGGATTGTGTGTTCACGTTTGGCATGTGTGACACGCACGTGTGTATGTGTGCTTTTTTGGCGGGAAATGCCTCCTTTTTCATTCGTGTTCTGTTCTTTTCTAGATGGCCTTGACATTGTTGGCCTAAACACATATCGGAATTTCTCCACGTGCGTGTGATTGTGACACGTGTGCATTTTTTTATTATTTTTTTTGAAATTCCTTCCGAGGTGAGGAAAATCTGTTTCATATACGAAGGTCTTTGGGGCCTTTTTTAAGCTTGTTGTATTCGACCCGTGAATAAATAAAAATCATATTATAATACTATTTTCTTTCATTTCAATTCAATCTTTTCCTTCTTTTGTTTTCCTTATGTACCGTTCTTAATTGACACCACATAATTTGTAGCTTTCTCATGGGTTGTTTTATACTGTTATTGTATATAAATTCTAAAGAAAAATTAAATGAGTGAGTAGAACTTAGTGGAGACATCGATTTCGTGAGTGAGTGAGTGAGTGAGAGGAATAGAACTCGGTCCCGCAGGCAATAAAGTCGACCCAATTCACGAACATGACCCCCAGCTCCCGGCCTTAATTACCAATTTTCCACCTATCGGCTCCCGCATCGTCACGTCGTCTTTTATCTCTTTTTAAACATAACGTGATTCCGTTCCTGTAAACAATTATTGATGCTACAATTTAGGTTATGACAACGTGAAATGACTTTTTTTTTTTTAGATGAAAATTGTAGTCAATAGTTTCAAATAAAATGACGTGTTAAAAATCACAAGTGATTTCTAATCTAAATTCTCTATTCAAATAAGAAGATTTATAAACTACTTTCTACCATCATAACTCAAATTATACCATCAACATACATATACAAATAGGTTTTATGGCAACATTGCATATATGAAAGAGAAAAGTTTTCCCTAGATCCCCGACATAGGGCTATTTTATTTTTTGCATGTGGGTGAAGATTACAACAATGTCCCTTTTAAAAAGTGGAAAGTAAAAACTTAAACATGCATATTTCAGGCCAACTCGACCATTCGTCATGCAAGTAGCTTTACAACCTTATCATCCCACTCCAATCCACTCAAAACACGTGGCATCTTACTGTAGACATATGTATATGGCTATGGACCAGGGTGACACAAGGTGACAATTATTCAACAGTACTATTTTATCTAACTCTCTTGGACTTGTTCTTAATGCAGCTTCTGACATGCATATTCTTCCCCATAGATTAAGGGATGCAAGGACCACTCTCATATAACAATTTCAAGTTGATTATTTTGACAATAATTGACGACCGAGTCTTTGTTTAATTGTTCTGGAACTAGAAAGCAAATACACGACATTAATGGGCGCTTTTCCTACATAAATTTACTTGTTTTTCAACAGTGTGACTTGGATGATCAAACGTGTCAGAATCCACGTGGATGATATTATTATCAAGAATCGTTTTATAAATTCTGTGTGAATTGGTGCTTTCTCATTAGTACAGCAGCAAGGTGGGAGCCATGAAGATTTGGGGAGTATTATCAACCCTAAAAAGACATCATCTTCCCCACTAAGGTCACATTATTATAACCAAATGCAACATTAATTCGATAACTATAATTAATCCCCAACAGCCCATCCAATGAAGTTTTTGCCACAACATAATATATTATTATACAAGAAGATTTTGGATTAATCTACAAATAAAACAGAGAATAGGCCAAACTGTTGAAATGCAATGACGTAATTATTATTTATTAGCGTAGATGAGAAAAATATAGAAAAAAAATTAGAAGTGGGTGTAAATACTAAATAGCAATGGCCGTATTTTTACCCTAAACAGTTTTATTTAAGTTTGTGGGGGGTTAACGACGCATGCATGATGATGATGGGGAGGAGCGTATAAACGTAACTATCGAAGTGGGGGCATTGATAAGGACGAGACATTTTGGTGTTTTGGGGGCGGTTTTAACGAAAGAGGATTTGGATTTTGTGAGCAACAGGTTCCCGCCATTATCGTCAATACTAAATCATGCCTTATGACATGGACTTTGGGTTTTCATTTGTCACCATGATTCCACCCTTTAATGCCATCTTCTTCTGTTACAAGAGGATATCTAATAAAGGATTCTGTTTAAGTGGGGCTTATACCGATAGGAAGTATGGTTGGTAATGTTATCGTAAAACGAGATGTTAGTATTGATTGAAATAATAAAATAAATAATCGTGTCGTGATAAATTATTGTCTTAAAAATAAATTTATCCTGATACATATAATCGATATAATGGATGAACACTCATTAAAGCTAGTATGATCTCTCTAAGAATTCATACATCGAAAATTAGAGTGGACTTTGACAACAATACTGCTCTTCTCTTAATATTCAAATTACTTTAGCTTTTGCAATTTAAAATAGCATTTGGGTTGATATGTACGGTCAATGTAAATATTAATTTTTGAATATCTATCTTTGACATTGATATAATCTACAGGGAAGAAATATGTGGCCTAAGTTGCCAACTGATGCATTTCTTTGCACAAAGAGAGGAGAAAAACATGCCAACGCATTCTTTTCTTTTATGCTCTGAAAATGAAGTTTAAAGTGAGGAATCCAAAGTATAAGCCCAAAGCCAAAAATTCTTTTCACCTCCCCTATGTATGAAAAGTGAAGCTGTGTGTAGGGTTCACAATCTACCTCTTTTGTTGAGCTGTTTTCTTCTTTAGAACATGGCAATGAAAAACTTGGAGGACCCCTAAAGTTGGGTTTTTTAAAGATCCCTTTTTAAGAAAATAACAAGGTCGTGGGGTTCTCTGTAAAGAGTTCAAAAGTTGCATAGAAATAGGTTAGACCATGATTTTAGAGAGACAGGCGTAGGATATTATGTAAAGAGTGAATATATAAAATAGATTATTAATACGAAATACAAAAAATTAAATTATATGAAAATTTAAAAATTTCAGGAAAAGATCCTCCCAACTAATCTTTCTCTATCTATCTATGCATGTGTTGGGGTTTCCAAGTCAAGAATTTTGGTGCCTTTGGATACTCTCGAGGGAGCGTTGTTTACTGCTCTTTATTTAACTTTAGTCATAGTGCCTGCACCCCCATTTCCAAGAGTGGATCCACGACGACGTGATATTAAGAAAGCAACGTGAAACCTCACTGTAAGAAAGCAAACAGCTGTTTAGCCGAAAGATTGTTGTTTCCTCAATGGTAAATTAATAAAAAACTAACGACGGTAATTGGAAAGCTTTTTTTCTCCAAAGTACAAATATTAAACGTTCGGATTAGACTGATATCGGAAAATGCATGCATGGGTAATATTTCAAAACTGAATCTTTTCTTTAATCATTTGTTTCTTTTCTGGTAAGAGGAAAACGTGGATGGCTTAGAAAACATACTGCATGTATGTATGCATGCATGCACGAGTCTTTTGGTCCCGACTAGTCTCAGCTGATATAAAATGAGAGGTGCACATGAGAATATCGTAAAAGCGTGTGAAAATATCTATTATAGTCCATTCCAACTCAAAAACCCACCTCAGACAATATTTTCCGGCTCCACGACAAGGGAAAGGAAGGGGCATGGGTAATAAGATATTTGCAAGTTTTGATCGATATATATATATATATATATATATGGGACATGATCTATTTTTTTATTGAATTATTAGATGAATGAAAATAAAAAATAAAAGTTATTCATTGAAAAAAAAATAGAAGATCAACTTTTAATAATAATAAATGAAAAGAATCAATAGTCGGTTAGTCTAGTTAGACGAGACACTAGATTTCTTAAACAAGTTTAGGGGTTTAAACCTTGATCTTTACAAATGGGGCAATTGGATTAGGAGGATAGCCCCTATAATGGACATTTGCAAAATCTGATCTGGATTAATCGATCAATAGATCAAATATTAGTGATTAATTTAAACAAATTAAAAGATATTCACAAAAAAGGAGATAATTTAGTTGTCTATTTCTACCTATATAATGATCGTAAAACGATATTAAACTAAAAACTTTATACTTTATGAAAATAGATCCTAATCCATATATATATATATGAATCGAATACAAGATCAATACTTAAAACCATTCAAATTAATAACAAAGTATTAATAAAATCTTACTTTATACAAAACCATAATCTTAATTTTTTTGATAAACTAATCAATAAATTAACTTAGAAAATGAAAGAAAAAATAATTTGTTATCAAATTAGTAAGAACCACTTAAAAATCTTGAAGATTAAATTATTTATCATATAATAAACTTTTATAAAATGTTGTTCAATAAAAATTGAAAAAAATATACAACTTTTTGTCTGTAGAGAGCATTTTCCACATTTTATTTGTTTCTCCTGTGGCTCTGAGGAAAAGGGAAAAGCATATGGTTAATAATAACAAATGCTTTAAAATTTGTCATTTTGCATGTATAAGGATTGAATAAATGGAAACGTGATGACAGTGGCGCACAAACAGTTGATGAGGTTGGGCCGTATACAAAACTTTTCTTTTGAACTTAATTTATTATATATTTTTGGTGAAAAAGAATGACGGCTTTGAATATGTTATTTTGAACAAACTAATTATGACATTGCTTTAATTTATAAGGTCCCTCACCTTCTGAAATTTATTTAAAGGCTTCCTGCCTTCCATTGGTTTTTAAATTGACTTCTTTTAATCAGCTTCCCCATTCCATGATTTCAATATATAATGTTATAATTTACTTACATTTAAGAATCATTGAACGGTCTTAGTGGTTAAATAGAATGTTTTTTTTAGGTCATAGATTCAGTAGATGCGTCTGTAGAACGTGTGAATACATTGTAAATAGTTAAGAAAGATTATGAACATATATAACATTATAGTCACCTCATATTATTTTAAAAAATGCTCATGTTTAAGATATAACTTACCGTTGAATACAGTAAGCGACCCCAATAGTAAAAAGTGAGTATCGTTATACTTAGAGGTTTTATGTTCGAGCAGTTACGTTCATAGAGTGCGTTATCGATAACTAAGAAAGACTCTAAACAAATACTACATTGAAATCACCAATTAACTTACACCCACATTATAATTTTTGTCTACCTCGTTAACTTAAGGGTTTAGTTTTTGTTATTTAAAAAAATTAGATTATTTGATTTAAAATTTAAGTATTTAATTTTATTTAAAAAAGAATATAAGAGAGCGGAATGATACAAGTAAGATAAATGGATAATTTACTAAAAAAATGATTGCATGTTTTAGATTTGGGCTTGAAATTCAAAGAGGGTTTTTGTTGGGATAGTAAGCATCACAAACGGGCCAAGTGTTTGGGGTTGGGTGTCAACTATGGTAAAGGTTGTATTACAAATACAAATGGGTTAAAACTTTATGTTGTGTTGAACAAAATAGGGCTATTGGTGCAAGTTAGTGGTTTTTGCTTGAAAATTTTGAAGAATTGACCCAAAAAGGAAATATTTGTCACTCTTATTTGTGTGAATGTATTGTTCAATGATGAGCATTGGGATTTCTTTAAACCTACGTAGTTACTTTACTAAAATAACATTTCTTTTTACCAACTGCGCTCATAATGAGTTGTTATTATCAGAATATCATGATATATATAATATAACGGGAAGATATACACAGATGTTTCTTTTGGGGAGTTCATAATGAAGTTGTAGGCGATCAGCACTCCCAAAACACAATCCAATCTTTACAAACAGTATTAGGTTGCAGACTCAGAGATGCTGTGTAATGAAGGCCGCCATGATTTTGAGCTCATTGCAGCAGAGTTCGCAGGTGCTATCTTCGGGCGTCGTCTTTCATGCTTTGTCATCATCGCCTGAGACTGCAAGGTCTCTGAACTTTGGTTACCTTGTTCTTGTTCATGCCGCATGTATTCACTTGTTTCCAGGTGCTGTTGCGGTTTCGTTTTCGCATATTTCTTCGCCTTTAAAACCTCCATGACCTCTGCAACCTCGTCCGAAACATACAGACCATTAGTTTCACAATCAAAACAAGGAAAGATGGGAGTCTGGGTGGAGGAACAAAGACCTTGAGAAGCGACGAGGCGATAAGCATGGCCGAGGGCGAGAGTGTCACTAGGACGAAGAAGCTTGGCACGAGTGAAACGTACGGCCTCGTCATCTCGATCCTGGTTCCGATCAGACGCAACAGGCAATGGAATGATGAGCGAAACATAATGACCCGGATTCATCCTCATCACTTCACTCACGGGAACAGACCAATACAATCTCTCGATCTTCCCACACGGATGTTGTATCAACAACGCAGCAGCATCAATGGCCTGACAATTCCCCATCTCTCACTCTGTGTGCTTCAGATGCAAAACGAAAGAGAAACTGACAAAGATTGAAATATATAAAGGGGAAGAGAAGAAGGTGAAACAGCACTGTTTCTGTACATCTCCACTAGCACCCTACTGATATACACAAATAAGAGAGTTGCTGACACAGGCCGTTCCTTGTTCAAAAACGCCACATTATTATTGATAATAATACTAAGGGTAAATTGTTTATTTACTCATTCAACTATCACTTTGATTTCGTTTTGATCACTCGATTAATTTTTTATATTATCACCAACATTATATTTTAGTTTCATTTTGATCATCTACCATTAATATTTTTTATTTTTTAATAATCATTAACTCATCACCGTTAATTTTTTAAATGTGAGTGACAAAAATAAAATCAAATCAGAACCAAATTAATAATTGAGTGATCCAACACTTATTTTACCCTAATATAATAAATAAAGATTTAAGTGTAATAATTAGATTATGATTGTTACTACTAAATCAATGTTTATAATATCATATCATTGACAACTTCTAAGGCATGACGAATGGACACAGCCACTAGGCCCTAGGAAAGCGGCACGACCTCCACGTGGAGATTTGATGCAACTCTGGGAACTTGTACTAGTAGGCTTAGGTCCTTTGGTTCAGGCGGGTCAACGGTTGAACTTTAGGGTTCAGATAGAGACAAAACTATATTGACTCTAAATTTGTTGGATTTTGTGGTAAGTAGTGGAATGACTTTTTAGGGTAAACTCTCTTCTTTCATATTGGTTTACTTTTACTTATTAATTTAAAAAATATATATTTAGTTCATTTATATTATTGAATTATTAGATTTTGGTTACGTATGTTATTGATAATTATATTTTAGTCATTAGATTATTAATTTATGTTTATATGATGATATGACATGTTGTAAAATAAATTTATTTTTAATTTAATCCCTAAATTTTTATAAAATTAATTCACCCCTTAACTTTATAAATAATATAATTTTAACCTTTAAATAAAATATTAATTTGACCCTTAAATTTAAATAAAATATTAAATAAGAATATTTGAAGGATACATAGTCTTATATTATTAATATATTTATAAATATTAAAAAAGTATTATTATTATAAACCAAACATAAAAATATTATAAACAAAAAATTTATAAATTCGATTATGATATAAATTAAGCTTTTTGATGTTTCTCTTTTAAGGAATATTAATGATAAATTTATTATTTTGATTTAATTTTAAAGGAAGTCGAATTACTTTAGATTACATTTATTGAGTATGAGTTAGTTTTTGATAAAATAAACATCATATTTGTCCAACGGTAGCTAGTGATAAATGGTGATGATGGTGGGTGACAGTAGACGACGGGGAAATTTGGTCTAATTTAATGGTCAAATTAATATTATATCCAAAGTTTAGATATTAAAATAAAAATTAACCATTTACTAATATATCACATAATTAAATTAACATGAGTTATCAGCTCAGTGAGAAAAATGTAATAATTGATAACGTAAGTGATTAAAATTTAATAAATCTATAATATAAATGTTTGAAATATATTTTTTAAAATTGATAAACAAAAATACATAAATATAAAAAAGAAAATGATCATTCTAATAGTTTACGTGACTTTTTTTAAACAAAATTAATTAAAAAATGATAATAACTCAATATAATTATCAGAAACGAAAGTCTAATATACGAAAACTTGCAGAGCAGTTCAAGTGGAGCTATAAACTAATCTTCAGGCCTTAACTTACCTTGCAATATTACGCCAAAACCCAATATTGTCTCTTAGTGGTTAGTAGAATCACTTTTTATTAGACAAAATTGATCCAAAATTGTAAAACTCAATATAATTATAGGATTTTGGACAGCGAATAATATATACAGAGATGGACTTAGGGGAATAGTAAGAGTAGTCGTCCTTTCAAAATTTCAAAATTTCAAAATTTTTAATTGATATTCTATTTTAAAATTTAAAATTTATTTTTTTAAAATTTTATAAATTTATCCCTTAATATTAAATTATGCGTACATCCCTACTTATACAATAACTTGTAGAGCAGTTTTAGTACTAGATCTTTAGGCCCACTAAATAATTTAAGTTAGCCCAAATTCATATTTATGTTTAAACTCAAATCTAACTAATCAAATTTCTTGATTCTTGAACAAATACCCGAAATTTATGAAACTCTTAACAGCTTCAAACTCCTTACAAATCTACACTACTCCCTCGATCCCACCATCACAAAACATCATTTTCTTATGCCTTATCATTTGCGTGCGCGCACACAAAAAAAAAATATAACAGAAGGTTTAATTACGGTTAAAAAAAGGTAAAAGGGTCAATTTTGTACATATAATAAATTCAATTTATCATTTTCGTCCCTATTGTATTTTCGTATCAATTTAACTCTTGAAGTTGCTCAATTGAATCATTTTATCCTATCCCTCACTTAAAATCCCAAATTGAGGGTTTAAAGTTAGAGATTAAGATTTAAGATTTAAAGGTTAAATTGATGCGAAAATACGGCAGGATCGAAAATAATAAATTTGGTCTATTACAGGAAAAAAACCTTTAAACATTAAAAAGAAAAAAGGAAAACATACGGGAGAGGAGGGGTGACCTCTTGGCCATTTCACCATCGAGCCTCAGCCCATGCCGATACGATCGAGCCTCATCTCTTTGCCAGCATCATGACAAGTAACAACCTCACTCAGCCCTTAAACCTACAAATACTAACATCACACCTGAATTCAATTTAATCATGATGTTAGACGCTTATCATAATTTAAAATGATTGCTGATGATTTATTTTTTTACTATTTTTTAAAAAAGTATAATATTTTCAAATCATCACAAAATAATTTTGACATACAACACATTCGCTGTTTAGCGACATCTGATCGGTATTAGTTACCATTTGAGATTTGATCCCCCATCTTTTGATGGGTTCTTTTATAAACGGAGTTGTTCATTCCATAAAAAAGAATACAAGTAGACAACGAATGTAAACTGTTAAATATAGATGAAAGAGAGTGGATTCAGAAATTGTTTGTCCTTACCGAAGCAGGCATTATGATTTCCCCAGATTTAGATCCACAAATAGATTGCAATCCCACACATTGAGACCCCAATTGTTTATTATATAACCTTGATTCTGCTCCCTTGTCTGTTCCACAAATCTTTATTCAATACCCAATTTTTATTTACCAAAATTTTGAGCAAGAAACTGATGGATGTCGGTGAAAACAGATGACACGAAACAACAATGGCCACTCAAAGCTGTCGCCCTGCACACTCCACCATCTATCCATACATTTTGCTTTATAATCACGATATTATTTAATCAATTCAAATTAAATAATCTATAAGTTCGATATAAAAGATAAATATTGTTGGAAAGCTAGATTAAGCTTTAATGTTCAACAAACATTGAATGCTTTTCTTATTAATTCTAGTGATCGTGTAAATGGTTTTATAATAGCTAACAGAAGCTTGGCACAATTCTAGAAGCTCTGTAACTTCCTCAACTGACTGCTAACAACACTAACTGCTCTTAACTAACTCTAGCTATTTAGTTCTAATATTCCCTCTACTTTCTCTTCCTCCTTCAACAAGGTAACATACACATCTTAGCCTTGAACAATTGAAAAGATGAACAATTGAATCGAAAGTGCGGATGCTTCCTTCCGTTCATTTGAATCGAAAGTGCCGATGCTTCCTTTCGTTCTTCTTGAATCGAAATTGCCGATGCTTCATTCCGTTCACTTTGAATCGAAAGTGCTGATGCTTCCTTTCGTTCTTCTTATTCACCTTCATTTCTTTCTTCTTCACCCTCTTTTACAAGGTTCTTGACATTTGCCTATTCTAAAAAATTCTTAAAAAAACTTTTGATGTGAATGAACATGTACCAAAAAAAATTCTAAAAAAAAACCTTATTCTATAACAACAATGTGAAACAAACCAAACACCAGCAACATCATTGAAACATTTTCCTTAGGCGTCTTATGGCCATTGACGTTGAAACGTCTGAGGATTTTAGATTCCCCCCTCGTTAGATTCTTTGGCCTCTCCTTCGATGACCAGAGTGTTCTATTCCAAGGACACTTTGACATCTTCTTTCCCGAGCCCAGGCATGTCAATTTTCCAGCTTCGGCGTAAACCCCTCCCATGCCACGCGATGCAGCCACAAATGGATTCTCCATGAATTGATTCATCATGTTCAGGACTTGGCTCAGGTTCCTCGTTGGGGAGAAAGGATCAAACACATCTGAGAAGAAACCATCACTACGCCGAGAAAGTGAGCGTACGCGGCGGCGATCATCGCTGAACTCACTCTCGTCACTGTCGCTATCGAACTCACGCATGGCGTTGCTGTTAAAGAGCCTGGAGGTCGGTGAAGCGATGCTCACTGGGCGTACCATGCGCAAGGAGCTAGGGAAGAAAGTTTAGAAGCGTGAAACCAAAATTCCCAGGACTTTGGCGAAAGATACCATGTTGGAAAGCTAGATTAAGCTTTAATGTTCAACAAACATTGAATGCTTTTCTTATTAATTCCAGTGATCGTGTAAATGGTTTTATAATAGTTAACTGGCACAATTCTAGAAGCTCTGTAACTTCCTTAACTGACTGCTAACAACACTAACTGCTCTTAACTAACTCTAGCTATTTAGTTCTAATAAATATAATTTATTTTATTTATAAACATCAAAATTAAAAATTTTGATATTATTTAAAAAAATAATATTCCATTCTACTAAATCAATAGATTATTAATGAAATTTTTAATATGCGTGTCTGTGTGTATAAATATTTATTGAACTAAAGTTGTTACATGTATATAAGCAACATTAATTAGTCCAGCTTCATATGTTTGATTCGGGAAAGAAAATGGTCAGCCCTTCATCGATCTTTGTAGTTAGTTCATCAGAGCAGTTCAGCATGGACATGATAATATAAAAAAAAACATATCGGATATTGTTTAATTCATTGATTTTATATCCCATAATC